CAGCTGTCAAAACGAATAGCAGAGAGGTGAGTCACTGCTACCTCTCTGCTATCTTCAGCTGTCAGATACGGGATCGCTATTTAGCGAACCCGTATCTGAATGTAAAGGCTTCATTCTTTCATTAATGAAAGAAAGAAGCTTTTAAAAAAGCTTAACTATTTCATTAATGAATGTCTCAATAGTGAGGCATTAATTAATGACTGGGACTGCTGAGAATCAGCAGTTACCAGCATTACAGAGGCTAATATAACTCGGCACGTACAGTGTACGTGGCCAGTCATATAGCCACTTTGTGACGGGACGTACACTGTACGTCTCCCGTCACGAAGGGCTTAACCACAATTATACTTCGTTCTTAAATACGTGGCATCCCTGGATGGAATTTATATTCTCGACTGAATATATCACCTTTGAAGAGCAACCGAGATCATAACGGACACGGGGGGCATTAATATACCATACTCTGATCTAACACCCTCCCTTCCCTTCCCTCCTGAAATTTTTTTTTTCTCCCTCCCTCACTCTCCTACACAGACCTCAGGTATTATTGATAACCATTAATAAACCACTTGGTCTCTTCCCTACCCCACCATACTTATTTAATAACCCAACATATAAGTGGGTACTATGTATACATGTGTGCTCTCCACTAGATTATTACCCGCATACAACCTGCGAGGTGCTACGTCAGCTGTCCTTTCATTTTTTCTTTAATTCCCCTTTGCAATTGATAAAGAGAGCACTTACCAATAAGACACGGGCCAGTCATTTACATCAGACACCTCAAATGACAGCGCAGCCGGCAAAAACACCCGACTACCCATTTTCAGTTCTACCACACGAACCAGAAAGCTGCCTCCCTTTTTCTTCTCTAACCTCAGGTGCCTGTATGGCTAAACAATGAGTTGTTTGTTTGTTTTTGACAGTTTGAAATGTCCATGCTGGTCTATACTTGCAAGAATGTATATGTATACCCTTTTCCTTTTCCTGCACTGTCCCTTTATGTACGGTGTAAGCTTTAAAAAATTGAAAAATAAAGAATTTATAAAAAAAATAAAAAAGGGGAATTGCTAAGGATAAGGGGGCACTTTTTGTGTCTTGAGAAAAAGAGGTTTAACCTTTGCATTCAGAAAGACCTTTTGACAGTAAGAGCTATGTAATTGTGGAATAGACTACATCAGAAACTACTTAGATATTTGTTTAAAAGAAATCTGGATGCAGATATAATTGGATTATAACAGTTTTAAGTAAAACACCAGAATTTGTTGATCCAGATAATAATAAATTGTACTGGGGGACAGGAAGATTTTTTCCCTGTAGGATCAAATTGAACCATGTTTTGTAGGAGCTTTTTGCCTTCCTCTGGATCAACTGTCGGTATAGGGTTCCTTTTATTGATGTTTTTCAATCGGTTTGTTTTTTCTCCAATGGTTGAACTCGATGAACTGGTGTCTTTTTTAACCTCACTTTGTAACTTTGCGACCCCAATGTGTTACAGAGTACATAATTGTAGTTCAGCAATAGCATATACAGTATGTTAATGGTAGGTACTGGTTAGTTTTAACAGTGTGTTTGTTACAGTTACTTGGTGTGATGGTGTAGAAGAATATGTTACTGATCAGTAAACAAATGTTAGGGATTTATAGATATTTGCTCAAAAGAAACAATAATTTAACAGTCCTAATATGGGAGCAGTCTTTGCTCCCTGGTATCCTGGTATACATGTTTATTTATTCAAATGCCTCAATACAAGATGTTTATGAGTGTTTGTGCTACTCGTCAGTAAAATAACTTGGGCTGCAGCATCTTGCTTTATCTTCAGTAGAATTCTAAGATGAGCCTCCTTCTCAAGAAGAGCTCTATAGCATGCAGCAAAACGGACATTGCTACACAAACATCAGGTTTTTGGAGTGGGTTTTAAAGTACAACTATGCTTGCAAACTTGGAGAATGCATAGGTTAATACCATAACTCAATTAATCCATGATGATGAAGTGCTTAATAACATGCAGCAACAACAGCAATGTTATCCAAGAACCAAGTATAGATTGATAAGCAGGAACAAGGTGTACATTGTTATCCAAGAACCAGATACCCAGTAGTTCCAAAATTATATGTTCAAATACTAAAAAGAAGTTGCCAGGGCCCTACATGTACCCATGCCTGAACATAACCAAATGCCTGTAAATTGTAATTAAGTGACAGTAGGTACCATGCCAACGGCTTGTGGAAGATCTTGGGGACTGCATACTCTAAATCAGTTGTATGTCTATGGAATAGGAACATAATGACTGTGACACTGAAAAATGAATGTTTGGCAGTATATGAGCTAAATTATCTTGTTTTTACACAATGATAGGTAGGAAAAGACTATGTCTAGTTAATCATAGCACTACCAACAATATACAGATAAAATGCTGTTATTTTAACACAACAACATTTCTCTGTTAAAAATATAACATAAAAACTATTTCTTTCAATTCCAATGCAATTTTTATTTGTAATGCATTAGTTTGTTTTACCTCAACACTAACTAGTTTAGCAAGGGGACATATATAAAAGCCATACAGTAGCTTTTTTTATTAAAAAAGGAAAAATGTAAAAATATATTACAAATCTGCAATTCCTCAGTTTTTCCTCTGAGCGTCGCTGTTTGACCAGGAAGGAGAAGGTTTCAGAAATTGAGATCAACTGTTATTTTAAACATCTACATTCTGCAGATTTGAAAGAAGAGGAGACACATTTTCTAGAGTATGGTGCACTGTCAGATGGATAATATATGATCTTTTTCTCCATAAACAAGTGGATTACAATTATATATGTTCATCTTGGATGGATTGTAAATATTTATCATCAAAACGCCTAAAAAGAACAGAGATGAAAACTCAAACACAGAGAAACAAAGGAATTCGATGGCAAGTAATACTTTCTTTCTTATTTTTCTGGCTGTGTCATTCAGTCTCTGGTCAGATTAATTATTACATTAAAGAAGAAATGAGAAAAGACTCTCTTATAGCAAATACTGCTAAAGATTTGGGATTAGATGTTAAGAAACTCTCATCTAGAAAACTAAGAATTGTATCTCATGCTTCAGAGAAATACTTTTATATGAATCTAGATAATGGAAATCTCTATGTAAAGGACAGGATAGACAGAGAGACACTATGTGGAGCAGCAGCTTCCTGCTACCTAACCTTTGATGCTGTGGTTGAATATCCTTTTAATATTGTTAAGGTCAAATTAGAAGTTCAAGATATAAATGATAATTCTCCCAACTTTTTCCATGAAATATTTACTTTGCAAATTATAGAATCATCTTTAGTTGGAACTAGATATGCTTTACAAAGTGCAGAAGATCCAGATATTGGTATTAATTCTGTGCAGACCTATATGTTAAGTGAAAATCAGCATTTCACAGTGACCGACAAAGCCAGACCAGATGGTACTAAATATCCAGAAATTTTGTTAGAAAAATCCCTAGATCGAGAGGCACAGAGCATGCTTACTTTAACTCTAACAGCCTTGGATGGGGGAAATCCTGTGAGATCTGGTACTGCTGTAATAAAAATTATTGTTACTGATGCAAATGATAATTTTCCAGTATTTCTGAAAGAAATATATAAAGTCAGTGTAAATGAAAACATTTCAACCAATACAACATTAATTACTGTAAATGCAACTGATAAAGATGAAGGTGTCAATGCACAGATCACATATTCATTTAGCAAAACATTAGGGAATGTCCATCATACAGGCATGTTTACCATTCACCCCACAAATGGTGACATTAAACTAAACAGACATTTAGATTTTGAAGAAGTAAGACACTTTGAAATTTCTGTACAAGCTAAGGATGGAGGAGACCTTGTTACTCATTGCAAAATATTAATAGAAGTAATTGACGTTAATGACAATGAACCACAGATACTAATTAGCACATTATCCACACCAATACCTGAGGATTCTGCAGTTGGCACTATGGTAGCGCTAATTGAAATTCATGATCAGGATTCTGGAGACAATGGAGAGGTTGACTGTCAGATACTTGATGCTATGCCTTTTGACTTGATATTGTCATCTGACAGTTATTACAGAATAGCTACAAGGACTTTTATGGACAGAGAACAACAGTCATCTTATAATATCACCATAGTAGCTACTGACAGAGGATCTCCTCCACTTTCCAGAAGAAGAACCATCAGACTGGACATTTTAGATGTAAATGACAATCCACCAGTATTTCAGAAATCCTCTTACATTGCGTATGTGCCAGAGAATAATTTGCCAGGAGCCTCAATATATTGCATACATGCCTTAGATCTTGATAGTGGAGAAAATGGCAAAATTACTTACTCAGTCTCGAACATAAATACATCAAGCCTCCCAGTATCATCTTATTTGTCTATCAATATAGAGACCGGAATTTTTTATGCACAGAAAACATTTGACTATGAGCAAGACAGAGAGTTCCAATTGCAAGTTACTGCTAGCGATAGTGGTTCTCCATCTTTGAGTGGCAATGCCACATTTACCATTCGTATTGTGGACCAGAATGATAATGCACCAAAAATCTTATATCCATTGCCAGAAAGCGGTGGACAGTCTGTCTTTGAGCTGGTCCCTTTTTCCTCTGAACCAGATTCTTTAATAACAAAGGTGGTGGCAGTGGATGCAGATTCTGGACATAATTCCTGGCTGTCTTACCATTTCATACAAGTGACTGAGCCATCTCATTTTATTATCAATGAGAACACTGGGGAAGTTAGAACATCGCGTGCCTTTCAAGAAAAGGATGGAATGAATCACAAGGTTGTGGTCATGGTGAAGGACAATGGTATTCCCATTTTGTCAGCAACAGCCACAATACGTCTTGTTCTTGTAGACAGCTTTCAGCAGGTGGTTCCTGAGGTCAACAATCAAATAAATGAAGCTTCTCAAACAGGTTTACAATTGTATTTAGTAATTGCCTTAGCACTGATTTCATTTTTATTCATTGTGACTGTAATGTTGGTCATTATATCAAAATACAGAGGATCAAAGCATACACCAACATTTGGATCACTAAGTACAAGTCTATATCCTCCGTCTGATCCCAGAATACTGTCCATGTACAGTGATGGAACATTACCTTTTCCCTTATCTTACAATGTTTGTTTGGCTCTGGATTCAGCTGAAAATGACTTCACTTATGTTAAATCTGACCAAAATGTCCCTGTGGATAATCTTATTGATGCTGGTGACTCAGCACATGGAAATGATTGTTCAAATAACGCTTTACAATCTAGTGCTTTAATTGAGGTAAGTGTTACATTAAATTTGCTAAAAGTTTAAACATAAAATAATAATAATAACTTTGAATTTAATTTTTAAATGTGATGTCCAAAAAACAATGTAAGTGTATGTTTCCCTGTTTTACCTCTCATACCCACAGGGAGGTTCTCCATTTCCCGAATGTCATTCACTCTGACAAATCATTGGCATATGGTGTGGAATGGGTCATTTGTCTTCAGAAACTTGGACACTTGCCCTAGCAGCATTAGGTAAATGAGTCAATAGGGAGTCCTTGTATCTCTTCTGAGACAGAAGTGTCAAGTTCAAGAGGACCGCTGCTGGATTGTCAGCCAATGAAATCCCTGTAAGCTGCATAACTTTGTTAAGAACTGCACAAGGGGGTTAGCCTGGGACAGACCTAGATATGGAGAAGTGTGCCCCTGTGATTGGCCTGTACATTAACAATCACTGGGGCAAAACAATTCTTAAAATGACATAGCTTTTTAGGAAGAAAACTGTTCAAACAATGTAAATTTTTTTCATTTTTTCCATAAAACAGTAGTTTTTTGTTTATGTTGGTCTCTTCAAGCCCAACTTTAGGCTTAGCAACACATTTATTATATGATTACATGCCTTGATGTACTAAATAAGAGTCAGCTGTTAATTTGTGTCTGTTGTTTGCACAGCCAACAAGCAATTTAGTTATCAGTGTTGGAATGTTAAAGTGTTGACCCCTGTATAATCTACTGCTTGTGGGTAAAACAAAAAGCTTTATTTAGGTTACAAATTGATAAATAAGACCCTGTATGTCCATTTTTATCAATGGACCATGCTTTATCAAACACTTGGAGTTTGTAGATCCTTTATATGTAGGTGGTCACCAGTATAATTGATAAGGAGAAAAAAAGGGGGAAAAGCTAAATGCAGTGGTACCTCGGTTCACGAACGCTTCTGTTTGTGAACAATTCGGTCTGCGACCAGGAAGTTTGGCAATATTTTGCCTCCGGGTGATGAACGTGATCGTGGCCATCTTCGGCGATCTGACACGTGGTCGTGGCTACCTGTACTCGAGATCGCAGTTGCAGACAGAGCTGTGCACACTTACTGTGAAGCTTTTACTGTACAATATTACTTAATTCAATCCAAGAAGTTGCAGAGAAAGCATGGTGGGAAAAAGAAAGTGCGCAGCGTTAATGAAGGTGACAAGAATGTGCAGAGCGTTAATGAAGGAGACAAGAATGTGCAGAGCGTTAATGTAGGTGACAAGAATATGCAGAGTGTTAATGAAGGTGACAAGAATGTGCAGAGCATTAATGAAGGTGACAAGAACATGCAGAGTGTTAATGAAGGTGACAAGAACATGCAGAGCATTAAGGAAGGTGACAAGAATGTGCAGAGCTTTAATGAAGGTGACAAGAATGTGCAGAACTTTAATGAAGGTGGCAAGAATGTGCAGAGCAAAAATGGTGGTAAAAAGAAAGTGCAGCGCAATAATGAAGGTAACAAGAAAATGCAGAGCAAGAATGGTAACAAGAAGGTTTTGAAGAAAATAAGCATTGAATTGAAGAAGGAAATTGTAGAAAAGCATGATCGCAGTATTCGTGTGACTGATCTGGCCTCAGAGTACAAGATGGTGAAGTTGACCATCTCAACTATTTGGAAGAATAAAGATGCCATCAAAGGAGCTGATGTTGCAAAAGGAGTAACAATGTTAACCAAGCAGAGGACACAAGTACTGGAAGAGGTGGGAAAACTTTTGTTAGTGTGGTTGAATGAAAAACAACTGGCAGGTGATTTTAGTGAAGCTATGATCTGTGAAAAAGTCAGGAAATTGCACAGTGATTTACTGCAACAAAACCCCTCTACAGGTTCATCTAGTGATGAATTTAAAGCCAGTAGAGGGTGGTTTGATAAATTCCGAAAGAGAAGTGGCATCCACAGTGTGATAGGACATGGTGAGGCTTCCAGGTCTGACAAGGCCGCTGCAGAAGCTTACAAGAAAGACTTTGCGGAATTCATTAAGGCAGAAGGATACTTCGCTCAACAAGTGTTCAACTGCGATAAAAAGGGCACTTTTGGTAGAAGCTGCTGAACAGAACCTTTATCACGCAGGAGGTAAAGGCACTGCCGGAGCTCAAGCCCATGAAGGACAGATTGACCCTTTTGCTGTATGCGAACGCAAGTGCCGATCTGAAGATTAAGCCACTACTGGTGTACCATTCCCAGAACCATTTCCATTCCCATTTCTTTATCGCACCCACCGTTAAGAAATATCTTTCTGACATCCAACTGCCTGAGAGGTGCCTTCTTCTGATGGACAATGCCTCGGCACACACTCCAGCCTTGGTGGATGATATGGACGCTGAGTATGACTTCATTAAGGTCAAGTTCCTCCCCCCAACATGACACCTCTTCTGCAGCCCATGGACCAGCAAGGGATCTGCAACTTCAAGAAGCTGTACACAAAGGCACTCTTCACCAGGTGTTTTAATGTTACTGAAGAGGCGTCCTTTACTCTGAAAGAGTTCTGCAAGAAACATTTCAATGTCCTTCACTGCATCAACCTCATTGACAAAGCCTGGTAAGATGTCACGTACCGGACCTTAAACTCAGCCTGGAGAAAACTGTGGCCAGAATGTGTCATTGAAGGTGACACGGAAGAGTCTGATGCACTGGTAGTGGAGGAGATTGTGTCCTTGGGCAAGACAATGGGTCTGGACGTCGATGGTTCAGACATTGAAGAACCTGTTGAGGACCATAAGGAGGAGCTCACAACGCAATAACTTGCTGAACTCCAGAGGGAGCAGCAGAAGGTGTTTGTTGAGTAACATTCCACTGAGGAAGAGGAAGACAGGGAGGAGGTTAGCTGTGATGTGATCAAATCCGTTATGGAAAAATGGAATGAGTGCCAGGATTTCTTTGAGAAGCACTGCCCCAACATAACTGCGATGAACAGAGTGTTGAATCTGATGAACAACAACATGGTCTCTCATTTCTGGAGGGTTATGCAGCGCAGTAAAAAACAAGTGACAAATGTTTTGCCAAAATTGAACCTGCAGCTAAGCAACAAAGAAGAGAGGATACCTCTGAAGGAGATCTCCCCGATGTCCTTATGGAGGGGGATTCTCCCTCCAAATAATAACCTCCTCCCCACCTTCCTGTCCTCCATGCCTGAAGTCGCCGCAAGAAAAGTTAGTGTTCACTCTGTTCGTATTGTACTTTGTTTCATATTTTTGTGGTTAAACATTTTTTTTTCATATGGTTCAGAACGGATTAACCGTATTTACATTGAACCTTATGTAAAATTGAACCCTATGAAAATTTGATTCTGTTTGCGACCAAAATCAGTTCACGACCACGTTCGTAGGGGTCAGAACGGGTTAACCTTATTTACATTGAACCTTATGGGGAAATTTGATTCGGTTTGCGACCAATTCGGTTCGCGACCAGAATCGTGGAACCAATTAAGTTTGTGAACCAAGGTACCATTGTACATAAAAAAGATTAAGAGTTGATCATATGCAAAACCTACATATACTTATCTCAGTTTGAAAACAGTTTTGTAATTTTAAGCTGGTATGGTTGCTATTTTGGAAATCAGCTGGTCTCCGAACCCACACAGAGAATTATATGTGCCTATATGTTTGCTTGCTTTAAAGTTATTAGTAGTCAGTTGGACCCACATCAAACATTGCTTCATTAACAGAGGCCCCAGTACATTAAGAGTAATTACAGATCCTGATGCTTAATAGGGCCTTTTCATGTTTTGGTCTCATAAAATCCCCAGCTAGAACATGTGAGGAATGATCACACATAGGTAAGCATTAGTTAAATATTTGACTGTTTGAACCATGTAAATCAAATAAAGAATTTTCTGTAAATCCCCTTTTGAAACTCCATTGCTAAATATAGGCTACTTTCTTTGAGCAGTTAACTTGTAAATCATACTTATGTTGTTCTTACTTTGGAATTAAAAGGTTCATAATAATATTGGATGTAAAAGAAATGAGAAGATACCATTTGGAAAAACAAATGTACTATTGACTTCATTGCATAGAACTGCCCCTACATAAATCATAGAAAAGGGCAAACGTGATGTTCCATATGTTACATGAGCTAGGACCTGGTCAATATCATGATTTAACTATACAGTAGTGTTTTCTATACAATATACAATCTAGTAAATCTTTTAGGTTTACACATTAACCAACATATTTTGACATACTGGGGTTGATTTACTAACCTTATAAACACACCACAAACATGTATACACCTCTGTAGTGTGTTCCCTCCCAGCATGATCTATGGGTGGAATCTAAACACCTTTGTAGTGTGTACATACTCAGCAGGTGTGTTGTGCAAAGCCCTGCCCTGAATTGCAAGGTGATGTTGTGTAAATTAGCTCTACATTGTGTTGCTTGCGTTGATGAATGCAAGGAATGTAAATGCATGAGCTAACCATTTTTGTCTAAACTGTGAAGCAGCATTATATATGCATCATGTGCATGATTTTTCCATATATGGCATTAGTGGAAATATGCTTATAGAGACTTTTTGGTTGATAAATACGCTTTGCTGTGTAAAAATCACACGCACCTGGTGTTTGCGTGTGTTTAGGTTAGTAAATCACCCCCACTGTGTCCAAAACAAGTCTAATGAGTGAAAAAAACAACAACTTTCATTGGAACTTACTTTTGTTCTTATGTTTAAAAAGAGCCTAAAGCTTCAATTCATCAACTTAAAAATGTTCATTCCTGAACAACAGTCATGATTGCCATCACCCTTATTTTCCAATTGCCTTATCTAGTAAAAGATGCAGCCATTTTCAGTATGCCTGCTTTGGACATCTGCTTGCCTGACTAACCCCATCATCACTATCTTAGTGGGCTTTACCTCAGTAAAGCCCACCAAGATAGTGATTAAGGGTTTAACACATAGTACTGTCAGCATGTTTAAAGTGCGCCTGAGGCCTTACCCCAGTTTTACATATTGGAAAAAGTATTATCCCTGATTAAAATTGTCCTGCTACTGGCCACTTTTACACTGCTGCGTCGTCTGCACTATCGTTATTCTTGTAGTAATACCCCAGCCTGTGCACTTTGTGTCAAGTAACTGTGGATCTAGCCTTGCTATATAAAATCACCAACCTTCTGGCCAATGGCATTCCCTTGGGTTCGGATTTGCTGAACTCAAACAAGATTTGCTGAACCAATGACAATTCAAACCTGGGTGAATCTATGTATTATTTATGTATTATTATGAAAGAAGACCTAGAAATTAAATATGAATCAGAAATAATAAAGCACATATTCTAGTTAGCATGAAGCAAGTTTATTTTCTTTACATGTTTTCCAAGGTATATATTCAGGATACTTACAAGTAATGCTTTTTTTATTAATTTATTTCCATTTGTCCACATTTGTCTTTACATAAATTGCAGTTCTAAGTACTTATGTTATGCAGTGCATATTCCGTTACTAGAATTTTCACACTGTTTTATAACAAAACAGTGACTGAAATAGAATGTACATGCCTTTTCTTGAAGAAACATTTGTAATTCAAGCTTTAATTTTTTTAAGGGGTTAACATTTGAAGTTGTTGAAAACATCACTTTTAATCAAATCCCCAGTACAGCAATTTAAAGAACAACTCCAGGTTTTTGGAAAATTAGCTCTTGCAGTGGGGCTACTCCCACACTGCAAGGGTTAATACTCATTTTTCTCTAGGGGCT